CCCATTGGCTGACTTAGTTGCTATGCCTATTCATTGGCTGACCTTGTTCCCATGTCTTTCCCAGTCATGAATATTGTAACAATTTCCACTTCCCTGACTTTGGAAAGGAAAGGAATGTCAAAAGAAGTGCCACTGTAATCAAAAGAGTTAAGTGTTGGTTATCACTTTTAAAGCCCTTCATGGCATGGGTTCAGGCTATTTAAGGATCTGTCTCACCCAATGGCTCTAGCCCACCTACCCATGCCGGCAGAAGAGGCATGCTGAAGACCTCTTCGGAATTTTGACTGATGAGGTCCATCAAAAAATATTCCTGCCTTTTGGAATTATTTATACATTGTCTTATTTATTTTCGATATATTTTGGCAATTTGATTATATTTGGCATTCTCCTATATGCCTAGAATGCTTTATGATGCTTCTTTCTGTTTCTGCTTTTTGAAATATCTAAAAATAATGTATGAAAGTTTTAATGTCTTTAGATACTTCATGACATTATATCCTAAATTTTAAGGAAAGATAAGAGAAGTCCCTAAACAATTAATTGTTTCTAACCAGCAGGACAGAGGGGCCAAATTATACCAATTTTGGTTCTTAAATTCCTAAAATGTAGGAATCTGAAGTCACTATTTCTTAGAAAAGATTATTATTCTTGCCAAATTGAAATGGAATAGACTGCATTAACACTAACCCTGAAAATAATTGTGCTGAGCAGTTGATATATTTGTTATACGTATAGCTATAATTCATGGAGATAAAGCTATTTTGATCACAACAAAAATACAAAGAATATGACACAGTTCTAAAGACAAAAGAAATATCTTTATTATCATTGACTATACTTAGCTCAAAATATACATTGCATCCCCCCAGCAGTTGATATGAAGAATAGCAAAACAAATAAAAACAGAGACGCTTTTTACATACGGCATTATTTTAAAAATTCAGTGTTTGAAAACCTACCTTCCTTTGATGGGACAGATGTGAGTTACTTTAATTGGCTTTGTTTGTCTTGAAGGAAGGAGGGGGGGGGTTAGTTATATTCCACTAGATCTGTTTTTCCCCCCTGTAAGGTAATTAAGAAAAAATTCCTACTAAATTTATTTTGCTTACTTTACATCACATGTAAACAGAAACTATTTGTAGCATCCTACTTACTGTGCGACATTAAAACTAGAAAAAAATAGTTCTAAGAGATTTTTCACACAGGTAGTTTATTAAGTTTCCATGATTAAGTGAATTGGAATATTTGCATATTTATTTTGCCCAGACTGAACTGCATGCATGCTATAATCATAGTCAATGATTTTCTTAGCCACTTCTAAACTGACCAGATAAATGTGTTTTGAGTCAACCTGTGACTCCTTCACCAAGTGACTCAGTTATGAATTAACAAAAATGTCTTCATCTGCCCTATCACGAGAATAGACAACTGAACAGTGCCTTTACTATTATTAGCATTCATGCACTTCTCTAAATTTGTATGGGGGTCTGAAAAATAATCTTTTTTAGAACTGTTATCCTAAATTATACACATATACACATGGATAGCTACCTACGAACATGCATATAGATGTATGCAGTCGGCAGCAATTGTGAATACTTAAGATCACAGGGGAATATAATATGCAATATTCAAACCATTATTAAAATGGTCTTAAGATGCATGTTAGTGCTTCCAGTGTTAATATGCTAATTCATACGTAGCATGATTAAAAGGAATATCTTTATCCTAAGTCAAGACNGGAAGTAGTCGGGGGCCATTTCCAAGAAATGTTGCGCAAGCGAAGCCATTATTGGGACAGAAGAAAGTAACCGGGACGCTAACATACTAAAAGCAGGACCCCTAAATGAACAAGAGAAAGCCAGGTTGGCCTAGTGGTTAAGGCCCCAAGTTAGAAAGCCCCGAGTTCAAGTCTCCCCTCCTTGGCCATGAAAGCCAAGGCCGGGTGAGGGAAGCCCCCCTCTTTCAGCTGGGGAAAGTGCCATCTATGCAAAGAAGCCGGAGAAGGATTGGGAAGCCTCTGCAAGCAACTTCCAACTCTCTGGATCTGTTACAGCAACGGTGTCCAAACTTGAGGACTTTATAAAGACGTCTGGACTTCAACTCCCAGGATTCCTTGGCTGGCTGGGGAATTCTGGGAGTTGAGGTCCACACGTCTTTAAAGTTCTCAAGTTTGGACACCGTTGCTGTAACAGCCCCTGGGGTCATTTTTTTGAGTCAGAATTTTACTTTTTTAATTTGTCTATTTCGTCAAGCATGGATTACATAACAGGCATAAAAGAATGAATAGGTGAATAGGTGAAATGTGGATAGGAGTCCAAGGGAATTTCAGACAAGCGTCCTGGCCAAACTCTGGATGGGCAAAGGGGCTTTTTTTGTCTGCTTTTCTCTCTCCCCGCATCCTCCATTTCTGCCTTCCTGCCTTTTCCCTCTTCTGCCCCCCCCCTCCCCCCACTTTTCCTGGTGGTCTTAAAGCAGCTTTTCTCGAACATATAAGGGGAGGGAGGGGGCACTTCAACTCCCAGAATTCCTTTCGCCCGCAGGAAAGGCCGAGTTGTTCAACCGGGATCCGCCTCCCTCTGGAAGCTCCGCCCAGCACATCTTAAAGCCGGGCGGGAGGGAGAACGGAGGGTGCTGCAGCCATCTTAAGTGGGGGCAAAGGATTCCTTATTGTTATCCTGGCCACAAAGTATCGCAATGAGAAGTCGCGCCCGGGAACCGCACAACGGGATTCACGAGCGGCGCTTCATCCCCGTCCCCACTTCCACGGAAAGCCATTGAAATTCACTCCGGTGGAGAAGGAACGGCAGAAGGCCGCGCCCTTCTCCAAAATGGCCGCGGGTGCGTCGCTCCGCTCGGCAAATGGCGGCTGCCTCCCGTTCCGCCTCCCGTGGCGTCACTTCCGGGAAGCAGTTGGGAGGGGGAGGCGGAAGCGGCGGCAGGAGCAGCGGCGCCTCCACGTGGGGCGGAGGGAGGCACCGGGCGAGGATGGCGGCGGCGGCGGGCGAGGCGGGGAGCCGCGGGGAGGCCGCTCCCGCCGCCAGGAAGAAGGTGAGGCGCTGCTCCCGGGTCCTGCGCTGGCGGAGGGGCGGCTGCAGAGTCAGAGGGGCCGGCTGGGACCCCCGGAGGTCATCTAGTCCCACCCCAGGCGCCCCCCCCCGCCCCACACTCCCC